CTAACAATAAATAGTCTGGTATTGATTCAGGTATTTCTGATTCGTTTAAATTTCTATATTTTCTACTTTTATGTTTTATATTTCCATGTCAATGTAAATTATATATAGTTAGATATTTCTGCTTGAAATGAGATAATGAGAATGTGTGACGAATTTGTCTACATTCCTAATATCTGGAACATCTCACATGTCGACTGAAGTCGAAAATGTTTCAGGCAAATTCCTCGTGACAGATTGAGAAAATCAAGAGATTTCGTTCTCAGTGATACAACATTCTACACTTTTCAAATCCAATTCTAGGCGTCAATCGGGTAAGCCTGAGCGAAAGCTTGGATTTTCGTATCAATGAAATGTTTAATCTACGTCATTTTTAATCCAAAAATCGATATTTCCAACGGTCGGACGTTACTTTTGACTAACTTAGAGAAATTGAAATTGTAAATAAATAACGATTAGTTTAGAAACTTTTGATATTGTTAAATTTTATACGTATTGAAAAAGCTGAGATTTTATTTATGAACCAGGACCAGAGAATTTCGATGCAATCTTATTTCCTTTAATAAATTTCCAGTTAGCTAAATATTCCTTTATAAAAGAATATCTTACTTTTCGTTGTATCAGATCCACATGACACCAATTCAATGTCTTGAACTTTGTATTCTTATTAATAGTTAAGAAATTATATGCAATTTTACCTTTTGTTTATCTCGGTTAAATTAAGTTGTCATATGTAGTATTGTTTATAAGTGCCATTCACATATTTTGTTAATTTTAGCTATGTCGCATTAATATCATTATTAAATAAATTAATATTTATGTTGTACCTCTTTAGTAACCTAAGTTATCATAATATAAATAATTTAACCTTATTGTATTATTAATACAAGCATTTAAAAATTTCTTAGCTTTCAATTAATTATTAGATAATTTAAAGAATCAATTGCTCTTCTTATTTCTGGTATTATTGTATAATTGTTGTTAAGAAAATACGTTAATGGTAAACAAAGAGCAACAAAAAAAATTCATTTCGTTATCTTATAATCGACTTATATGAAAAAAATTGTAAAGTATTTATTAAATTCTGATATAGAATATCGTTTAAAATCATCTGTGTGTTTATTATACATGTATCGAATATTGTTCTTCATATTATTTTTTTAACATTATTCTTCATACTTAAATGCAAACAGTATCATCTTGAAATGGAAAAATTTTCTCTTTAAATAAAATTTACTGCCAAAAATACGAACATTATCCTCGACTTCCTCCTCTTCAAAATATTCTTTTGTAAAAGAAATACAGATATTTCTCGAAATTAAATACTGTTAAATTTAAGATCGAACTCTCGGTTAATTCACAGCAGGCAACTAAATACACGATAAATTATAAACAAGGAAAATTTCTCGTTGCATCTAACAAATATCGATAGCATTCGAACGGCGCGATCCACGAATAAATTTCTAACGAAACGTAAAAGAAGTGGATTCGCCGGGCTGTCAATTTCGAATCCAGTTTCGCGACGACGCTTTTCCCTATATTACTATTTCCCATGGTAACCCGGCCGCTCCTTATCGCAACGGTGAAGCCAATAAAGCATCTACCCAGGCTTTGCCTCAAATTTCTCCGACCCCCGCCTGAACGATGCACTCTTCCGACCAGCCCATACCCCCATTGCGAACGACATACACGTGCACACGAACGGGCAACAAACTAACCAGTCTGGCCGTATATACATCGAGCGTCTTCCTTGTAAAAGGAGCAAGGACCGGTAGCGAGGTAATGTTTGCATCCGCGGATGCCACGGATGCAATCTGTGTGCAAAACGGACCGAAGTTGAAACTCGAAGGGTGGAGACCGATGGAAGAGTATACAGAGGAGGGAGAGAGTGAGGACGAGGGTGAGGTCACGGAAGAGGGAAACGAGGAGGAGAAATTGAGAAAGAGAGAAGGTTAGATGGCTAGTAGACGAGGAAGAGGACACGAGAGAAAAAGAGGAGCAGGGGATGGATCACGGATGGAAGGACTACGAGTTCCCGTTTAACCGTGGAGGGGTTACCGGTCGAAGCCTCGTCGGTGACACGGCTGGTCGGACTATTTTCCAGGATCGCCACTGTGGGTGGTAAAGCTACGGCGTCGGGGCGTGTTCCACGAAGCTTGCAGGCGGAGCTTTTGCGACTCACGCCTTCCAGCACCCGGCGAGAGACTAGCTTTCCCTTCGAACCCATCCCTCTCATCCCTCCGTAGCGGAGGATAGTTCCTCTCTGAAGCCACCCCTGATGCGACGCGACTCACAGCACCGCTCTTTCCTCTCGCAGTTTTTCCAAACCGACAAGCTTCCCCCTTTCCTCCGCTCTCGTCCTTTCTCTGTCCTTCTATAGAAAGCTAGAGTGTGCATCGGTGTGCACCGGCTAGGTGTACACGCTTGTATATACGCGTGTTTGGACACACGCTATCGTTGGGAAAAGGTGGAAAAAAAAAAAAAAAATGAAAGGTTTGATCGTTTCCTCGAGGG